GCAAAAGCAATCGAATAAGATACATATAAATACACACACACACATATTTCTTTTCAAAAGCACAAAATGAATCTGAATCCCTATTTCTTCTCCTAGATTCAGTTCCATATCTTATAAAATTATCAAAATAGCACAAAAGAAAAACTTAAATTCATTATAATCTGGTTTCTTCTAAAACAATTCTATATAAATGGGTGGAACTTTCAGGTCACTACTGAAATACTGAGGATTCATTCAGAACAATCTGAAATTTTCCATTTTGTTACAGCCAAGACAGATATAAATGAAACATGCTTTATATGCTTTTATATTAATTACAATAAATTTAAATGTTTTCACTACCAATGCATCTCATTAATACAATTTTTAAAACACTACTTCGCATAACAGAAGAATAAGAAGAACAGTGTATCAGGCTGTGGCAGAGGCCCTATATCCAAATCCCCTTCAAGAGAGAGGTATGAAGAGAACCACAAACCCACTGCTGTCAAGTTGATTCTGACTCATGGTGACCCTATAGGGCAAAGTAGAACTGCCCCATAGGGTTTTGTTGTTGTTGTTGTTGTTGTTGTTGTGTGCCATCGAGTCGGACCCAACTCATAGCGACCCCTCCTTGGGTTCCGAGGCAGTATCACTATGGAAGTAGATTGCCCCATCTTCCCTCCGAGGAGTGGCTGGTGGGTTTGAACCGCCAGCCTTCTGGTTAGCAATCAAGTGCCTTAGCCACTATGCTATCAGAGCTCCCAAGGCTGTAAATCATTATCAAAACAAACTGCCACATCTTTCTCCCACGGAGTGGCTAGTAAGTTGAACCACAGACATTTTGGTTAGCACCCAAGCACTTTAACAACTACACCAACTCCAACAGGGATCAAATATGGAAACAAGATAGTTATGGCAAAATGCTCCTATCAGGCTCTACCCCATCTAGTCCTTCTAGGCACAGCCTTGCTTCTTCATGGAGCATTAATCAATCAGGTTCCCAGCAAAACAGCAGGTGCTCTAAAGAGATTTTAATAAAAGGATTATTAATTCATTAAGGTATAGGCAGGGGTTAGCATAAACAAAAGACAATGCAATACCCTAAGGAAAGCAACAGTGGGGAGTTGTTTCAATCCATAGATTTGAGACAGCAAAGAGAGAGGCGGTTACAGGATCCTGAAGAATGGGATGAATGGAGAAGGCTACCTGACAGGAGCTGTCGCCTCTGGGTAAGAGCAGCCAGATCAGGACAAGCAGGCACGGAGAGAGTGAAAGGGGGAGCAAAAAATTCTATCTTATTCTCTGGTCACTCTCCAGTCTCCAACTGGCATCTTCCACTGGCTAAATCCAACTGGAAACCAAAAGGTAAGGATCCTACTAATGTAATCCATATAGATCAGCCTCCATAGACCCAGCTCAAGGTGGTAAAAGGCTGTTGTTGTTGTTGTTGTTGTTGTTGTTAGGTGCCGTCGAGTCTGCTTCAACTCATAGCAACCCTATGCACAACAGAACAAAACACTGCCCAGTCCAGTGCCAGCCTCACAATCCTTGCTATTCCTGGCCCTATTGTTGCAGCCACTGTGTCGATCCAAAAGTTACCTAACTCTGTGCAGGACCCTGAAGTGAATTTGAAGAAAAGTCCAAGTAATACACAAGATCAAACAGCACAGCAGGAGAGAATATACAGCATTAATGGAAAATGTGTGTGTGTATGTGTGTGTGTTTATATATGGATTTTGTTGTTGTTATGTGCCATTGAGTCAGATCCGAATCACAGTGACCCCTCCTTGGGTTTCCAAGGCAGTATCACTATGGAAGTAGATTGCCCAACCTTCCTTCAGAGGAGTGGCTGGTGGGTTTGAACCACCAGCTTTCTGGTTAGCAGTCAAGTGCTTTAGGCACTACGCTACCAGAGCTCCTAAATATATGTCAATGGATGGATCGGTTTATGGACAGACAGACACACAGACAGCATCAATGAATTGATTAAATTCTGTCTTCCTGATTTGAGATTCAAATAATATCCATTTTAAACAAAAAAAATAAAATAAGATGTAAAATAAAAACAAACTATGACTTGCACACTAATATTCACTGCAATATTACTTACCATAAAAAAAGAGTGAGAAGAAAAAATTAAAAAAAAAAAAAAAACAAGCATCCATCAATAGATGAATGGTGAATGAAATAAGTCAGACATAAAAAGAGCAAATTTCGTATGATCACGCTTATACAAAATATCTAGAATAGGTAAATGCATAAAGACAAAAGTTCACCAGTTGTTACTAAGGACTAGGAGTAAGGAGAAGGAGCTCTGGTAGCATAGTGGCTAAGTCACTTGCCTGCTAACCAGACGGCTGGCGGTTCAAACCCACCAGCCACTCCTCAGAAGGAAGGTTGGGCAATTCTACTTCCGTAGTGATACTGCCTTGAAAACCCAAGGAGGGGTCGCTATGAGTCGGGGCCAACTTGACGGCACATAACAACAACAACAACAACAACAGGAGTAAGGAGAAGTTATTGCTGAAGTGGATGGTGTCTACAGTGACAAAAAAACATTTAGAAATGGATAGTGATGGTGGTTGCATAATACAGTACATGTAATTAATGCCACTGAATTATACACTTAAAAATGGTATAAAGTTTGTCATATGTATTTTACCACAATAAAATTTCAGTTTTGAAAACACATATAACCTGATTCAATTAAGCAAAACAAATCTTTTTCAGAAATAGACAGCTCGATCACTTGATCAACAGATCAATTATTAAACTGGTCAATGCATAAAGCCAAAAACAAAATGTTACAATTTTATATCTATGATAAAAATTTTCATAAAAATGCTCAATAAACAATTATTTACATAATTGTTGTTGTTAGGTACCATTGAGACAGTTTCTACTCATAGCAACCTTATGTATAAAGAACCAAACACTGCCCCATCGTGTGATATCCTCACAATCATTGCTATGTTTAAGCCCATGGTTACAGCCACTGTGACAATCTATCTTATTAAGAGTCTCCCTCTTTGTTGTTGATCTTCTACTTTACCAAGTATGATGTCCTCCTCCAGGGATTGAATACTCATGATAACATGTTTAAAGAAACTGAGACAAAGTTTCATCATCCTTGCTTCTAAAGAGCATTCTGGCTGTACTTATTCCAAGATGGATTTGATCATTGTTCTGGTTACTGAGTGCTGCTCTGACAAGAATTTTTTTTTTTCTTTAGTTCTTTCAGCTAAAGAAATGCCAAGCTTGGGACCATAGTCGCAGGGGACATCAAGCTCAATTGGCATAACATACTATACAAAACATTGTTCCACCTCCTACTTTGGCGAGTACTGACAGGGATCTTAAAAGCTAGCAAGCTGCCATCTAGATGCAACGACGGGTCTCTCCTCATCAAGAGCAAAGAGGAAAGAAGAAAACCAAAATTCAAGGAAACAATCAGTCCTTGTGACTGGTACACCATCCAATCTGCAACTTATACAACTATGAGACCAGAAGAACTAGATG